CCCCCGCCCATTCCCCGCCCCCCACCCCCCCCCCCCCCCCCCCCCCCCCCCTCCCTTTGTGTTGTTGCGTAATGGATGGTGCTGCTGAAACTTGCATTTGTTAAAATGTTGATATTTAAACCCATTATTAGTAACAGATTATACTGTTCAAAATCAAATAAAAATCAAAGTACATTTAACATTATGTCTATGAACTTTGCACCATCACTGTTATGTTCAATAGTTGGAAGTTTGGTGTTTTTGGGCTTTGACTAATGTCAATCAGAGTTGCACATGTTTTTATTTAATTGTTAATTAAGGCGGTGAAGCCCCGTGTAACCAGTGGGCTCCTTTGTCAGGTGATGAAGATGATGGGCCTGAACAATGCCGTTCACTGGGTGGCCTGGTTCATCACTGGCTTTGTCCAGCTCTCCATCTCCGTCACTGCTCTCACAGTCATCCTGAAGTACGGCAGAGTGTTACTCCACAGTGACCCACTGATCATCTGGCTCTTCTTAACTATTTATGCTGTGGCTACCATCATGTTCTGGTGAGTGCTTTATATTTTCACTCAACACTGTTAGAATGCATCATTGTTTCACTTCCAAACACTGGCATCTGACTGCAGGTTGCACCTTCTGAGAGTCGACCTCAGAAGGTGCAGTATAGAGATGAGAGAAAGTTCTTCTCTCTTCCTCTCGATGAAGGCGGACGCTTTTTTCCTCTGCTCCTTCCCTACCCATGCCTGCTCTGCTTGCTCTGTTTTTGTCCTGTCTTTTTCTATATTTTTGGAGCCTTTTTCTGCACATCTTCCAGATCTGCAAATTATGGATCTGATCAACCGATCTCTCAATGCAATTCATCAAATTTTCTCGACGAGAAGACTGGGCACAAGAGAGCCCTCTTGTCCTGCGGGGACAAACCCGGCGGGATTCACCCTGGATTTATTCATAACAGGATTTCTGCTGTTTGGAGCTTGTGGATTCCTGGATTATCGACAAATTTGTGAGGGACTTGGCAGAACTAGAGAACACTCAGACTGTTAGTGTGGACAGAGACGCAAGTTGGATGTGAGTCTTGCTGAGACTCGCAGCCCAGCTGAGGACTCAAAACTCACTAACAGAATGGAATCGATCTTGGAGAAGTTGCTAGTTTCGGTTCAATGGAACGACCAAACTAATTTGGATAATTGGGAGATGTATCAGAGAGACTTTAGGGAAGATTGAAATTTATAATCTTCCCGACCTAAGACATTCTGTA